ATAAGTGATAAATGTAAGGACTAATGAAAACGAACGAGAGTTAAAGGTAAGAACCTTGATAGAGGATGCCGAGAAAGAAAGTCGATCTTACTTTTAAGGGAATATTTTGATATTTTTGCTTGGTTGCATGCCTATATGTTTGGATTAGATACTAAGATTATGGTGTATAGATTAACCTAAAACTCAAGATGTAAGCCAATGAAGCGAAAGTCGAGAAGAACAAGGCTAGATGTCTTTCTTAAAGTGAAAAAAGAGATTAAGAAACGAGTGGGATGCTAGATTCTTAGAAGTTATAGAATACCCCTAATAGGTCAAAGTGGATAATAAAGATGATAAGACCCAAAAGTGCATAGACTTTTAGGACCTAAATAGAGCCATCTTGAAAGATGACTTTTTATTACCACGTATTGATGTTTTGGTTGATAATGCTACACGGAATGTAACTTTGTTCTTTCATGGATGAATTTTTAAGGTATAATAAGATCAAGATGGTCATGAATGATAAAGAAAAAAATGATGCTTTTCATAGCTTGGATATGATCAAGATGGTCATATTGATGTTTTGGTTAACAATGCTATAAAGAATACAACCTATTCCTTCGTGGAAGGATTTTTAAGAGATAATTAGATCAAGATGGTCATGAACGAAAAAAAAATGGTTTTTGTCACACCTTGGAGGACTTTTTGTTATAAATTAATAATATTTGTACGAAAAATGTTAGGACTACCTATGAAAGAGCCATGGTTATATTATTTCATGGCATGATACGCAAAGAGGTTAAAGTGTAAATAGATAATATGATTGCAAAATCCAAGGATGATAAAGATCATGCTTTGATTATAAAAAATGGTTATTTGAAAGGGTGAGGAAGTATCAATTGAGGTTGAATCTTACGAATTGCATTTTTTGGTGTGAACTTAAGAAAATTACTCGAGTTTATAGTAAAAATAGAGGAATCAAAGTTGACTCGACAAAGTCAAGGGTATTTAGGGTATGCCATCACCATCAACTGAAAAAGAGTTTAGAAGCTTCCTATTTATTTTTCAACTAACTAGCACATACGAGCCAATCTTTTGATTGTTATGAAAGAAGAATCCTAGTACATAGGATGAGGAATCCTAAAAAACCTTTGATTAGATTAAGTAATCATTGTAGGATCCATCGTTATTCCAAAACTAAGAAGACCATTGATTTTGTGCTTGTTAGTGATAGAACTAGAAATGGGAAGTATCTTCGGTGAGCATGATGAGTTTAGGAGGAGAGAACAAGCCATCTACTATCCGAGCAAAAAGTCCATCGATTATAAGTCAATATATATTGTGCTTGAGAAGATCTATTACATTCTATTATGGAGTGCACAATGAGTTAGACATAACATGAATTATCACACTATTTGGTTGATTTTAAAGATGGATTTGCTCAAGTATATTTTCAAGAAATCATTTCTATCTAGCCAAATTACAAGATGATAAATCATGCTTTTTTAATACAATTTGTCTACGTGATAAGGAAGGCGAGTGAAAGGAGGAGCAATAGCTAACCATCTATAGACAAGTGGACTTAAGTTGAATGGTGACATATGGGCTTTATATTTCAATTGAGTGATCAATATGTCTTGAAATGGTATAGGGCTAGTCTTGATTTCACCAAAAAGGAAACATTTTTTGCTAGTTTTCAAGTTGTAATTCGAATGCACAAACAACTCAAATAATAATGAGGCATATGTGAATGGTTTAATAGTAGTCTTAGATATCAAGATTAATAAGCTTAATATTTATGGAGATTCACTACTCATAATCGATCAAGTGAAAAAAGAGTGGTAGATAAAAGATGAAAATCTAAAGCTATATCAAAGGTACTCGACAAAGCTAGCGATCAATTTAAAGAAATTGAGTTCACTCATCTTGGTAAAGAGAAGAATTATTTTACCAATTCCTTGGCTACAATCACCTCAATGACTAAAATCAAATACAATGTGAAAATTCAACCTATATTCATTGAAAATAGAAATACTCCAATATATCATTATTATCTAATTAAAGATGAAACAAATAGGAAATCATGGTTTTTATGTCATCTAACGAGTTTATCAAAATCCACGAGTATCCATTGAATATAACTAAGAATGATAAAACGATACTCGGAAGGTTAGCAATGGATTTTTATCTTGATTGCAAAATCTTGTACAAAAGAACCTTTAATGGTTTTCTATTAAGATGTTTAGATGTAGTAGAGGCAAAAAAGACCATAAGAGAAATCCATGAGGGGATTTGTACTACATATGCCAATGAACACTTGATGACTCGACAGATTTAATGACATGGCTAATTTTGGACCACTTTAGAAAATGATTGTATCGACTATGTGCAAAAGTGTCACAAATGTCGGATTCAAGTTGATTGGATAAATGTTCCTCTAGCATCTCTTTTCAATATGGTATCTTTCCGGTCATTTACAATATGGAGCATGGATGTGATTGGGCTAATAAACCCTAAAATACATAATGAACATCGCTTTATCTTTATAACAAATTATTATTTTACAAAGTGGGTTGAAGTTGCTTCTTTTGCACATGTGACTCAAAAGGTGGTATATCGATTTTTTGAAAAATATATCATTTGTGAATATAGCTCTTTTGAAACACTAGTAACAAAAAAATGCTCAAAAATGTATTGGCCAAGATAATGACGATTTATGCCAATATTAAAAGATAAATCATCGTAATTCTCCTCTATATAAGCCTAAGATTAATGGGGTCATGGGGCAACAAACCGAATAGGAAATAGATTATATAAAAACGGTGGTGAGATAAAAAAATTAGCATAAGATGTTACCATTTTCATTGCATGCTTATCGAACAACCATTAAAACTTCAATAGGGTTAACTCCTTACTCTCTATTATATGCAATGAAGATGGTGATACCTTTAGAAGTGGAAATGCCTTCTCTAAGAGTTTTGAAAAAAGAAAAATTTGAAGAATTTGAATAGGAAAAGATTTGATATGAACATTTGAATCGGATAAGTGAAATTATATCATAAAAGAATGAAAGAGCATATGATAAAAAGATGCATAAAAGTTTTTTTCAACAAAGGATAAATTGTATTGAAGAAAGTTCTAAAAATATTGAGGGCAAATTAGAGTAAACGGACACCAAACTATGAAGCTCCATATCTAGTAAATAAGGCATTCTTAGGGTGAGCTCTCATTCTAACAAACATGAATGGTGACAAATTATCAAAACCGGTGAATTTAGATACTTGTGAAGAAGAATTACACATGAACTGTAATTCTTTTTTATTTAGAGTAATAAAAATATTTGATTACCTTACATGATCGAATACATGATTTTCCAACCTTTTAAAAGTGAGCAAGTTGTAACATGCTCGACCTAGAACATAGATAGGTCGAGGATATTATCGATGTTGAGTCGATATTTGGAGTAAAACGAATGCAAGCCAACAAGCCTTATTCCTTAACATTCTTAAATTATTAGAAAAGTGAGTATTTTCATATGAGGTCCCCAATTAATATGATATAATAGGTCTACATTCACTAAAACTTAGGTATAATTTTTTTTTAAGAATTCAATAAAGCATTTAATAAATTCATTTAGACATTTAACTAATATTTTGGCCACTTATTTTTTTTATTTTTTATTTTTTGGACTTAAGAAACTTTGGTTCTTAATTTATTTAAAACTAACCCATTAAATATATTTATTTCTTAATTATTAATTTCAATTTATGCCTTAACCTTACTCACCCTTTTTCATGCCATTTTCATTCTATTCTATTTATCATTAATTCATTAATTACTAAATTAAGTAACCATTTAGTTGTTACCTTCATTCTTCTTTTAATTAATTCATTTTCATAACCAATTTGTTCATCTAAATCATATTAACTAGTCAAGTGATCAATTAATTTACCAAGCTATATAATTAAACAATCTTTAGCACCACATTCTCCAAACCATACCCTTTAATAATACAAACCATATTTGCTTAAGTTGTCACTGCGACACATAACTAAAAATGAAGTTAATCAAAGCTAAGTTTTCTCACACGAGTGTGCATAGTAAGCACGGACATGGTAAGTCTTCAATATTTCTCTATGACAGTCCTTATTCATTTTTCTTTTCTTCCACATCATAAGAAACTTAGGTGAGCGATGCAATCCATGCAATTCATGTAGCGCATATTATGCATGTGATGCACGTGATGTATTTAAAAATTATTTTTATGCCTTTTAAAATTCATTTTCCTCTTTGAGCGCTTCTTGGCAATTGTGCATATAATTGACCCTCTTTTAAAACATGCAATTGTGAAAATTTTACAAAAGCTTTAGATACTTTCCCATAACATTTTTCTTTACATGCTAAAAGTATACACCGGATCATTCTCTTAGTATGTCCTTGTTTTCCTTTACATGCTAAAAGTATATACTAAATCATTCTCTTAGTATGTCCTCATTTTCACATGCCAAGAGTATACACCAAATCATTCCCTTAGCATTTTCTTATTTTCCTTTGCATACTAAGAGAATACATTAGATCATTCCTTAGCATACCTTTCCTCGAGAGAGGATGATCATTCCTCTCCCATAACCTCAAAAAGGTATATAGCCATTCCTTTTTTAAAGCATGTCTTTTTTCTTTTCCTTTTTCATAAAAACCATGAAGAAAAATCATAAAGATCATAAAGAAAAATCCTTTTCATGGTTATAATATGCAAATGCATTCTATGAAATGCATTCCTTTACTTTTCTTTTTCCTTTCATCAAAATCGTGAATGTAAAACCTCTTTCGTGATATATGATATGTAAATACATTTAATTAAACATGTAATACAACAATATAAACCTCAACATCCATGCTTTTAAATCCTCAAGAATATGTAACATATAAAACCCTAAAAACCCTTAAGAAAAAGCCCTATAGGTTGACACGAAAGGCTCTCAAGGCTGCTGCCTTCCTATCGATGTCCAGCCATGATGGCTATGCCAGCCCTTATAGCATTCATCCAAGATAACCCTCCATCACGATTACATGATAGTGGGGTGGAGTTCCCTCCATTGCCCTCCTTTCCTACTAGGTATGGATAGAAACTAAGCTATAGTGTGGCGGCTGCTACATCCTCGAAATCCCTACCATGCACCTCATCCAGCAGTAAAGTAATGACAAAACTTACTGCAGATCTAGTTCTAGTTTCATTGTCGAACAAATAGATTTTGGATGCAAGGTTCTAGCAAGTGCTCAGCCATCACATATTTTTCCTTGCTATCCATCTAACAGTAGGGTGTTGATAGTAACTGATGCTGCTACAGATCTTCATCTTACTGTTCCTCCAGAAAGTTTGTCGCACACAGAGGTTTTGCATGCCAAGAATGGTAATGGATAGAAGGCTTTGAATCAAGCAACTTTGCACGGTCATGATTTTGCTTCCCTATCTGTGTCCTTGCCCATAAGGAAAACTAGACAATAGGTTCCAAATTCATGCTTTACTGCTCCTACAACTTGGTTGCCACAAACGTAGGTTTTGGATGCACAGAATGCTAGAGGATAAAAGGTTTTAAATCCAATATCCTTGAAAAGTCGAGATTTGGCTCCTCCACCATCAATATCTCTGGACATAAGGCACATTGGAGTGAATATATCAAGGGAGCCTAAACCTACCCCTAGTGCTTATGGTTGGTTTTAAATAACTTCAGAACTTCAAAACCCCCTTAAGGACTGACACCACCTATTAAGGATCTCCCCCTTTCTCTTAGGAATTTGACATATATAAATGAGGAAGCTCCGCAATTAAATCGAAAAAGGTTGCTGAATAGTTCAATAACAACTTGGCGTAATGTTTTTGAGACACAGACCTAGTTTGGTCGATATCCAGAACCATATTCTGGATAAATGGCAGCTGGCTATGGAACCAGTTATAGGACTGATGGACCTAAGGCATGTCATAGTGCTGTTACACTCTGAAGTTGACACCATTACAGTATTGGCAAAAGAGGACCATATGATTAAGAACTCAATGTATCAAAGTTTCAGATAGAGTCCCGACTTCGATTTCAGATAGGATAGTCCTATGCTAGCTATTTGGGTAAGGATACCATAATTGCCTTTAACTTTCTTCACACCATCTTATTTCAAAATGATAGGGGAGGGCTTTGAGTTTTATTTGAGAGAAGATGAGAGAACCAGTGCACTTACCCCATGTTTCCACGCACCTGTGTGGAGATCGTTGTCTCAACATGCTACCCCTCAAGAATAAGGATTGGTATCTCTAAGGAGCAAGGCTTTTGGCAAAATGTAAACTATAAAGGTAATATTTCTTTTTGTTTAGGTTGTGGTTTGATAGGTCATAGACAGGAATCATGCCATAAGAATCCTTCGCATCCAATTACTACCTCTATTTCATGACTTATTGTGCAATAACAGCCCTTGCCTAAAGACATAGGAAATGACAAGGGAAAGGGAGTATGGATCTCAGTTACAAGAAAGAATGGCAGCAAAAGGGATGTTACTGTTGGAAAGGGTATAAATAATGTTATCATAGAGGAAACTATTAAGGGCAGTGATAACATGTTCTTAGCAGTTGGCTTCAATGGGCAAAATGAAGGCTAAAATATTGAACCAGTACTTTCTAATTTGGATGCTACTCTGACTTTCCATAGAGCTCACAACCTACTTTGCATGCTGCTAATCCACTTTATTTAAGGCTACATGCTGCTGTAGCTACTCCAAAAACTCAATAGTTTATTGAAGCCGATCCTCCATAGTATATGCATTCTACTATTGCAAAGACCAACTCAGTTAGTACTTGTAACATCCTTGCTACTGTCAATGATCTTCAAATGGGGCTGGGGAGTGAGGCCCAGACAACTTTTGTGAGTGGGAAACCCAGAATTCATGTGATTGCTCCAGCCTACTCGAAACTGAATGTTACTGTTATAGCTCCTTTATAGCATATCCATTGTTCTGTAGCTGATGCTTCTAATTGTTTGCAACCTGCTGGCACGAAGACAGCTTCCTTGAGTGTTCATCTATTTGCTTCTCCTAGCGTGCTTGCCAATATCAGATCAATAAATGGCATCAGTGTAGTTCAATGCTTTGAAAACATAGTATCACTCGGGAGCATTCAAGCAAGGATGGGTACAAAGGTTTTATATAGTATTATCATTGGGTAGAGTAATGATGGAATTTACTCCACTAGCAACCAGGTTTTGAACTGTGATTTGGCACATAATTTAGACTTGGGCAGTAAGGATAAAGAGGATTCTTTTATATGTTGTAATATCTCGAATCCGTTATTAAATGAATTAAAATAAATTAAAAGTATATGAAAATACTTCCATGGGTATAGGATAATTGCTAAGAGGTTAGAATATTCTATGCATTTAGGATAATTTTTTGTGCCTAATGAATATTTTATTGGTATTTTGATGAATGAATAGTACTCAGATATGCAAAATAATTATTTTAAATATGTTATTTGTGCATAAAAATTATTCTATTTACATATAATATTTGCTACAGGGGTGCTAGATTATTTTGTGCCATTGGATGATTTTTTTGAAGTTTAATGAATATTTTGCGTGACTTTTCGATACATGAATATTGCTTTTTTATGCAAATTAATTATTTTGAGTGTTTTAAATGTGCATAAAAATTATTCAATGGCCATAGAAAAAATTTTAAGGAGGTGTAAAATATTTTATGCACTTAGTTGAATTTTTCTATGGTTAGGAAATATTTTCACGTAGAAATAAGTACATTTTTACACAAAATAATTAATTTGAGAGCTTAAATATGTGTATAAAAACTATATGAATAATGAATAAATTATATTGGAAAGTGTTTGAATTTATTATAAAAAGAATTTAATTTTTAGAAAGATGCAGAATAAATTATGCATATATAGGGACTTAATTGCATAGGATTAGGGACCCAATTGCATTAAATTAAAATTTTAAAATTTCAAATTGAATTAGGAATGAACTTGAGGAAGTAAAAATTTGTTTGAAAACATTAAAGGAAGGGCCTAAAGGGATTAATGGAATAATTGAAGGGCTTATGAACGAGTAAAAGTAGAAAATTTTCTTAAATTGATGGATTAAAATTAAACAAATTTGGGAGAGATTTTTCTCCCCATTTTTCCACCACTTAAGCCTCAATGATTAAGGTTAATTAATGAGGTTTGACTAATGACAAAAAGAAGGGTTAAGATTAAGCTAGATGGATAGTTAACCTTTAAAGAAAAATGAAAGGCAAAGATTAAAACAAATGAAGGGCTAAGATTAAAAGTAAAATCAAGCGCTTGGATTACACCAAATGAAAGGCCAAGATCAAGTCAAACATGGAGAAAGTCTAGCCATGCTTACCTATAAATATGGGTGAGGAAGATGTAGGAAAAATCTTAGAAAATTGAAAAATCTAAGGAAAATTCTTGCAAAATTTCCATGGAATTCCACCTAAACTTTTCACTTAAACACTTAAAACCACCTGTAAAACACTTAGTTATGGCTATAATCATAGTTGGAAGCTCAAAAGTTACAAGGGGAAAAATTTTGGTCTTGATCAAATATTGGAGGAGGAAGAGAGGAAGGAAAACTTCAAGGCAAACCAACTTAACCATGACTAATTTGGAGCTTTCTAGGTAAGTTAACCTTACCTACATCACAAGGAATGTTTAATTGTGGTTAATTGATTGTTTTTTCCCATTTATTCAAGTTTAATTGCTTGAATTTTAAAAATTTACGATTAGGGTTCTTAGTTAGGTTAAATTGGAGAAAATAAAATTAAAGTTAAAATTGATACAATTGAAGTTAGAATGTCTTAATTAAGCATGAAAAGATGTGTTAGAAACAAACATTCCTTAGCTTAATTCTTAGGGGACCATTCGATCGAATTTGGATAAATTAAGGTTTTTGATTTTTTGTTTTAATCAATGAATTATTGATTGATTATAAGTTATATAAGTATGAATATATGATTTAACATCGGCAATTATACTAGAATTGAAAATTTTCCCTTAGTTACTTTAAGTATATATTTGACTCGACTAAGAAAATTAGGGTTCTTGATCCTTTTGATTATTAAATGATTAATTGATTGTTTATGTGTTATTACTAGGCAATTACGTGATTTACAATGAAAACTTGCATTAGAATTGAGAAACTAAATTAGTTTACCCCTAGTGAAAATTCGGCCCAATAAGCCTAAAATTAGGGTTTTTAGTGCAATTAGTCTATCAATGTTTAATTTATTAAATTCAAGTTATTAAAATACATTTAGATGATTTAACTTGAAAAATTAGCATTGAAATTGAAAAACCCACCTAATTTAGGCTATGGTTACATTCGGCCTTGATAGGGAAAAATTAGGGTTTTATACATTTATGTTGTTTGAATATGCAATTGATGATACTATGATGAATTGGGTGTAATGATTGTGCCCAAAGTGTGAAATGTGATGTTTATGACATATTTAGGTATGTTTATGGAAGTTATGGCATGGTTGAATCCTTGTCATAAAATATCTATATTTGGTCATTGAAATGAAATGTAGCATGTAATGAAGCCTTATGTTAATGGATTATGATTAAATTGTGTATCACAAATGGATGAACATGGATGTGTAAGGTAATGTGTTATGATGTAATTGTTACATTGTGACACGTTATGTCAACTATCTAAAAATATATTATGCATGGCATGCATGCACAATTTATGAGCATTATGTATTTATATTAAATGCCGGTGCTTACCAATTCATGGGAATATTTAAAGTCATGAAAAGATTTCCTTCAATGTTTTTCAAAAGGTAATTGAAAAATTTTTCATTGTTTTATGAAAAGGACTTTACGGTTTTTCATGAATTTCATGGTTCATGATTCATGGTTTTCATGGGTTAAGTGGGTGGAAATGTGCACTCTCAAATACTCGATAGGGCGATCCATAGAGAGGTCCGATTTTTCGGACAAATCATGGAAACCCTAAAATTTGGAGATAGGACGTCCCGAGTATAAAAAGGATTTTTTAGAATAATCATGGCAATATTTCATGACATCGAAAAATGGGTTTTCAAAGAACATACAAATAATTTAACATGTGTATTTCACTTACATGCTTGGTTAACTTACTAGGCAATAGCTTACTGAATTCTTAGGATGTAGGAACCAACGACGGAGCATAATGGTGATGTTTGCATTTGATGCGACTATTAAAGTGTCTACTCTCCATATGTATTTGCCTATAAGTGGAAGATGGACCTGGTTCATACTATCTTGTTGCTAGTATTGGGGATTTTTATTTGTGTACTTGGTATGTGATCATTATTTTACATGATAGATAAAGCAATGAACAAGGAGATGGTAGACTGGAAATGGATTGTAGTTGTAATTAAAAAAGCTATTTTTATAGTATGGTGGAAATGAACTAGTTTATGTAAATTAGTGATAGTTTGTATGTTAATCGAAATATCGGTAATACGGTAGTAGTATAATAGTGAATAGTGTAGTTTTCTTTAATTAATTACTTACATGCTAGTATTAATAACTAAATGAGATAATAAAATTGATAAGAAAATAATCATAATAAATGAAAATTAATAAAAGTAAAAAAAAAAAAATTATTTATCGAATAATGCGTAATGACTAAATAAATCCCCACATGCTTATAGAAATTTTTTTTGATAAAGCCGAGTGTCACATATCTAGTCAATTTAGTCTAAACTAATGAAATAAAATGTCAAAAAAAATAATTAACAATGCTTTTTACGGTTGAAGTAGGACCTACTCGTCGTTTAATAAGCTTTCATAGCATAATCGACAACTAATATACCATAGGAAAGACATAGTGTCTTGTTGGCTTGCATTTATTACACTTTGAATGTAGGTCAAGGATGGTATTATTCTCAATTTAACGGATCCTAGGTTAGAGATGTTATCAATGTGGTATCGAGCACGGTTTACTAAAAAATTAATGGAAGGCATAAGTAAGATACACGAGAGGTGACCTTTAGTAATCCGTAAGTATATTTGACGATTGGTCTGTTATGATTGCTCGGTGTATGTATATGATAAATATGAATGGTATGAGGATTTAGAATAAGGAATTATTATGCTTGAATATTATGTGCATGGATGTCATAAGTGAAGGTTTTGTGAATGATGATTATAATGATATGATTGAATTTAATGACATAATTTACATTGTTTATACGCATAAATTAGAAAGGGAAAGGATGCGACGTACTCATTCATTGCATGATCATTTTTTATATGATTAAGCATGACTTGAAGTATCGGTATTATTTATGAAGTGATGCTCCCAACTAAAGAGTCACTAGAATCAAATGCCATAATCAAGGAATGTGAACTAAAGATTGGAGATCATGTTTTACATGTCAACCTCATAATCTTAAGTATTCAAGACTTCAATGTTATCTTGGGCATGGATTGTCTATCAAAAAATGGAGCATCGATTGGTCGTTTAGCTAGAAAAGTGAAGTTTCATTCACCAAGTGAGCAACATTTTGAGTTATAAGCTAGAGATAGGGTGAGACTTGCAACCACTATTTTAGCCACAATGGCTTGGAAAATGATTACAAATGGATGCATGGGC